AAGGGTTTAAGGTAATCAGCCAAGTGTGATACTCCATCTGAAAAGAAATTTACAAACCCACACATGCTGTTCACATCTCTTCCTGTAGTTGGTGTTCGCCAATCTAACAGGAGTTCCACCTTACCGGGGTCGATTTTAATACCTTCCCCAGATATACGATAGCCTAAGAGTTGAATTCCGCTCATGGCGAAGTGACATTTCGTCTCGTTAATCTTGAAGTTTTGTTCGGTGAGTCTCTGAAGGACTCACCTAATGCGGCATGTTCACCCTTAGTCTTAGAAAAGATGACTATGTCATCTATATAGACTTGCATGTTAGGCATGTCTGTAAACGTTTCCTCCATTAATTGTTGGAAGAATGCTGGTAAAGAGTGCAACTCGAAAGGTGCACCTCTAAACCTGTATTGTTTACCTTTCCAGATAAAACTAAAGTACTTACGATGGAGTTCATAAATTTGAATTCGATGATACCCCTGTGTTAGGTCTATGGATGTAAACACCGTAGCACCTTCCATTCGTCTCAGTAACTCGTTTAAACGAGGGAGATGGAAACTATGAGTCGGCAATAATTTATTTATTGGACTCATATCTAGACATACTCTGACTTTCTTAAATGTTCCGTCAGAGTTGTGTTGATCAACTGCCAATAATGCCAAGTTAACTGGCGTTTGTTGGTAATTGATTTCGATTACCCCATCGGATAACCATTTCTCAACTTGTTCTTTAACTACAGCTTCGTGTCTCCAAGATACATAGTTTCTTGAAGGGCATTTGAGCTTAGTAAAGTCTACCTTGGTTAAGTCAAGGCTGACATATCCGTCGTTAAAACGAAATTTTGCCCAATCTGTGATCTTTATCTTCTTATTTACTAGAATTTGATCCATGATTTTGTCCGCAAAGTCAGGTATTAATGCCTTGACTGTGTCTGACGGGGGCTTATATGGTTTCAGACAGTTATCGTCTGATTGATCCTTTAATGGATCTATGTTATTTAGTATACCAGATACGGTTATACCTAAAGTGAGTAAATCACTCATTCCGACTATTAAGTCGTACTTCTGTGACATCTTAACTATCACAGCTTGGGTAGTGATATTTCTATCATCGGCCAGTGAGATTTTAACATCTGTGGCCATGGTATCATACTTAGAAGTTTTGTCATCTGCTAAGATTAGGTGAGTAGTTTGAGTTCGCCTTTCAATGTCTTTCATTAATGCAAAGCGGTCGAACATACATGAAATTTCTGAACCAGGATCAATCAATGCAAGAACTTTATTTCCATTGCAATAAACAGGGATTATTGCACGCTCGTTTAAAGAGTCGTTGCATTTCCTTTGTAACGATTGTACCTGGTAGTAATTTCACTCCAACGTAATGTCTGGCTTTTTGTCACAAGACTTGGCGTGATAGCTATTGGTCTTCTCACACTTGTCACACTTAGTAAGAAAGTGTGTACAGATGGGTGCATGTCTGCCATTCCAATAACCGTTAGAGGTCAATTGGTACATGTCATACCCACACTGTGCGTCGGCACATTTCTTAATCTCCTTAAATGGAGGTTCCTTGTCCTTCGCCTCCGCGCGTGCCCGTTTATTGGGTCGCGTTGATTGAGCGGAATCGCGAGCACGTGTCTGGTTAGGACGCGTCTGATGAGGTTTATCATCTGACGTCTGGCGTGAGAGGTATCCTTGATCTGGGAGCTCGCGCGGTTTCTTATTTACCGCCTTTCCCTTCGAGGTTACTCAGTGTGCGGGGAAAAGAGTGGATACAGTATCATAAAAACTGTTCCCACGTAAGTCGGGATAGATAAAACTTTGTTTCATGTCCCTTTTCTCGAGCCTCAGTTGCGTATTTACGTCTCAACTCGGTGTACAGACTTTCGCGGTCGTTGTTCCTTATGTTCTTGCAAACAACATGCATAGCCAGGAACTCGTACCATCGCTGCGCCCTGTCCTTTGTTATATCTGGACGTTTAAGGTCAGCATCAAGTTATAGAATATAACTCTGAATAGAAGTATTCTCAACAGGTTCAGTTAAGATTGGACTTAGTCCTGGACTGCGCATGTCCTTGCTTAATAAGGACGTAACCAACCAACACACAGCTGGCCAGTCACGACAAGTGTCTAGCTCATGCTGGTGTCGCTGCAGCATCAGGTAACCTGTTCCTGTAGGGTCAAACGATTGCATTGAAACAGAGATCCATTGCTGAGGAGCGATATCATTCGTCTCCAGCATGACCGTAAACGTAATAAGCGCACGGGTTAGCGTGTCGAGGTCATGGTTGTTTATAAACTCGGCCTGCTTACTGTTGGCATCCCAGTTTGACTTAAGTCGACTGTTCTGTCCCTTGTACTTCTGGTTGTCTCGGTGGTCTTGCCCACGTTGGGCCTGAAGTAGCTGATCGATGCGCTTCTGCTTGATCGCGATCAATTAGCAAAATATGATGCGTCATCAGCACGGTGCTCATCATGGGCGATTTCCATCTTAAAGGTGTAATCGTCGACCGATTTATTAAGTTCGGTCACCTCGTCAGAGTGGAAATCCTCTGCGGGCTGGTGTAATGCTGTGCGATCGAAGCGATTAAATTCGACATCGTTAACACGTTTACGGGAGTGTTTATTACCCCTTGTAAAGTCCATGGTCGAGGCCTTTCGGTGCTCTGTTCCTTGGATAGTAGTTGGTATTATAATCTTGGTTGATTCATGCGTCTGGATGACATACCCAGTCTTATCTGGTTTCCGACGATTGTCATCCCAGTTGGGTAAAGGTGGTGGAGTAATTTTACCTGCCTCTGGGTCTATAATACCCTCAAGGACGGGCGACTCATGGTCGGGCGTTAGAACAGGCCAATAATTAGCCTGGAGTTCTGGTGGTAGTACCTCGTAAGGTATAGATACGCTGAGCACATCTGGCTCATCTGCCACAGGTGTAGCGCTCAGGCCTTTACGCTTTTCGGGCGTAATTGCCAGTCGACGTTCTGTCCACTTCTGTAGGGCTTCAGTAATGCCCGGAGAAACATGCTCGCGTAAGTGCTGTGTGTATGTTATCCTGATCTTTACATTCGATCTACATGTTCAACAGTCATGCCTTTCATAAGGGCGGCTAACTGATTCTTAAGATCAGTGTTTTCAGTAATCAACTTACTTATGCGCGTTGGTTCAGTGGTCTCGGACATAGATTCGGGTTTGCCACTTGAGCTTGCCTCATCTTTTGGTTCCGGTATAGGTACCTTCTGAGATTCGTCTTTGTCTCTTATGATTGGGGACTGTTCTTTCTGAGTTTCGTCAGAAGAATTGGTTGGGGCGTCTTGAGACGTGTCCCTTGTCTGACTTCTTGGCTTCGTAAATGCAAGCTTCGAAGTTGAGGCAATAGTTGGCCCTCAGGCTCTATCTGTAGGAGTAGTTTCCTTAATCGGAGTGGCTACATCCTTATCCGAGGCATTGTTTTGACTATTATTGTCGGAGACAAGTGCTTCGGCTACGGTGCGGTTAAATTAGTTCAATAAATGAACAACGTCTCCCCTTGTACGAGGGGAGTAGGTTGAGATACATTTATCCTCGACTGCTTACTACAGAGCGCAACGTCCATTGTGACAAAGCAAAGATTTCGCCATCATCAGATGACACATATGAAACGGAATCGTCTTTTGGTTTTCTGGACATACGAAACCATCAGCATCATGTGGTCTGTGCCAAGCGAAACCAATAGACCGCCAGATTTTTGAAATAGCCGAAGTGACTCGCCTGTCGGATACCTTCTCGGCATTTGCGTCAATTACGTATCAAAGTCAAAGGCATATGCTAGGCGAGAGAAAAGATCGGCCGTCTCATTGTCTTTGCCGCGGACATAGTACATAGCTAGGAATCATCAATGCTTTCTGGCAATAGTCGTGGACATTAGCCGGGCTTTTTCCATGTCATTTTGACGTCCGCCTGTCATCGATTGCTCGCATCTGTACACTGCACCATACTCTCATCCCGTGGGCCATGAATTGCTGGGTCTTAGCATAGATGGTTTGCATCTTCGGTGTGTTAATGCCAGCGTAAGGACAGTAACCACACCGCTTGGGATTAGCAACAAGCGTAAGTTGATGGGTTCGATCGTGCGTTGATTGTCTGAGTCATATGTACAGTTAGTAAAGAGTTGTATAGTTCCCTTAGTCTCCTCCACCATTTTGTCTAACTCTTCTCCAATAATCGGCCGTCTCTGTCGGGTAACGATGTATTTTTATTCCGAGTCATACCTGGACTCGTAGCCGGCCTCATTAACCGGTACCATGTCTATATTGTAGAGGATATGAGAACGGCGAGGCATTAAGATTGCACACAAAGGGCACTGATGCACCAGTCCTATATAAGCTTTGAAACCACGCTCGCTGTCGGAATAGCAACGGGTGCTCGTTGTTTCGGTTGGAGGTAAAGCCTTCGCATCGCCTGTTTGCTCACCGGGGCGACAATATACTGGCTGAGAGGTCAAGTTATGCTGCTCGTGTAATTCCGTGGTGAAGGAGGCAAAGGCTAGCGCTGATATTTCCGGGTCAGTTGCGCCACACCATGTAAATTGCGGTCTTCTTGTATTGTCCTTGCCATTTCCTTTTTCTCGGGCTCCTCGCCGAATACGTTTGCACTGCTGGTTGGGTGCGCCACGCAGTGACGACCACATGCACAACGTGGCAATGGATCCAAAGCTACAACTACATACATATAGTCGTCCATGTCAAACGCTCTAGCCCAGCTCGGTGTACACTGGGTGTCATATCTGGTACGGCAATGTGTCTAACACCA